GGGAATGGTAGGAGGAAGTTGTTTCTTTGGTTAGAAACTTGATTTTAGAATTTGAAACCAAATTAGTTAAATGGAGTATGCTGTAATTTTGTTTATTCATTGATATGATATAGATTTTAAATTACCTCAAGTGCCTACAAGGCGAGGTAAGTAAAATCATGGTAAATGCTCTTGAATTTGAAGGTAAATGTTTTTTTTTAAAAGCATATTTTGAATTGTTTTGAGACGGTGGTAGGACCTAAACATGATTTTTATTAGCACAGAATCATGAAATGTTTGAAATGAAGTTATTATTTTTATTGAGTTAAGCATGCCTACATGGAGTTTACTTAACTATTTTGATAATTTGAAATTGGATTGTAAGTTAAGATTTTCTTGTTAACTCCTATATATTTGTAAATGATGAATTTTCCTATGAACTCCTGCATGGTTTTGTCTCCAATATGGTCATGCTTACTGACGCTCGCTAGTGGGAGTTTGCAAATGCTAGCACATGTCAACATGTATACTTGTAGAACTGATTCACCCTATATTCCTACTAGTGGGATAGTACACTGGTTATTACTGTGCCTGCCAGTGGGAGGTTTATAAACACTAGCCATAACCTATAGAGGAGACATCTATTTCATTCCCATACTTGTATCCATTTTTCTTGATACTCGATTACACTTGTTGGCATGCTATAACTTTAATTAAGGGCTATCCATTTTTTTACTTATTGAGTTATCTCACATGTTTTTCCTTGGCCACCATTTCAAGAGCTAAAACCAAAGACACAGGAAAACCAAGAGGAGTGACAAGTTAGAAGGCTAGCCTTATATATTTGCACTTAGATTGTTTTGTAATTAGGTTTGCTTGATGAACTATTTTTAGATATAGATTTTGGAATTTAAATCTTTCTTTTGAAAGTTAGATTTTATTTCGAGATTTGGATCTTAGTTAGTGGGCTACTATATATGAATTAAGTAAGTTCTAAGCCTTATGCATTTGTGAGATCCTTTCACAAGTGTACGACGCCTGTTTCGCTCTCGATTTTGGGGTGATAGGTATGCTAGCACAAATAAAAGAAAATAAAAAACTAAAAATAATGTTTAACTCAAATAGCTAACTTTGGTAACTATTCATTTTACAGCTCTTCAAATTTCCAATAACTCTTAACTGATTTAGATCTATTACCATAAAAACTTACCCAAACACCTTTAAAAAACTATTTAGGAGCCAACAACTATCAACTGCCTCCTAAATGCTGAAACAAATCCCCCCCCTCCCCCCAAAACATAAATTCAAAACTAAACTAATAAAAGATAGGATAAACCCCCACCATCCCTAGAATTTTGTAGGCCCAACTCTCTCCTAATTGAAACCTTATAGTTGATGGAAAGTCCATAATCTTCAAATTTATCAAATCATTTTCCAAAAAAAAAAAAAAGAGAATATTTTCCTTTATTTTTTCCATCCAAGCCCTAGATCCCTTAATCACCTCCACAAAAAGTCACCACTTAGAGTCTAGCTTTGACTTACGTTTGCCATGCCACAGTTGGCAACAAGAAATCTGATATGGGATGCCATTGCCTCCCATATCCAAATTGGTACTAACAGCATTATGCCTATAAATCACTCCCCCTATCTTTTCACCCCATCCATCGCTCTAACTGTAGGACTCCTATAATTGAGGGGGTCATATAAAACCTCTTGAAAACTAGTGGTCCCTAGAACATAGGATAAACCTCACCGTTGAGAACAACAAAAGCTTGCATATTATTGCCCCTGAGTCCACCATACCACTAGCACCCGACAAAACCTTCATTGCATCCATCATCCCAAGCAAAACACCATTGGCTTCCAATAATCGTTCCACCCCAACCTATCTCATAAGAGCATAGCAAAAAGAAATCCCAATACTAACAATTACAACTTCAAAACTCCCATGAATTAAGTGAAAAGAATTAAATCCTAAAAGCCCTAATATACCACCCGTGCTACCTTAGATCACAAAGTAGCTTTTGTCAACATTTATTCTTTCAATACAAATTTATAATAAAAAAAACTACATTTATTATA